ACTGTCCTGTTCAGTCGGACAGTAGTTAGTCAGTACATCGCCAAACCATAGTAACAAACAAAGAGACGTAATTATCACTTCAAATCCCATAATGGTAGAGATAGTAGAAGTATGAGCAGTAGTCAGAAAGATTAATAATCGAATCTATCATTCGAGATGCCTACCTCAGAGGAATCGATTGAAAGAAAAGAGAGAAAATTAAACGGTCACGATCAATTCAGAAGATTAGGATTGAAGAGAACACATCATTATCAGTTTCCTAAATAAAAAATAACATTTTTATGTATTTATTTCGTTTACTTCACCGGTATGAAATGGCTGAAGCAGTCTGAATGAATGTATTCTGTTTAATTACTGCTGCTACTGATAAAATAGTTTATTTTTCTTTTTAAAAAAGCAAAAACACAAGGATGTCAAAAACGATCCATTTCTGATTTTGTGCCCTTTTTTCTTCTGCTAACCATTACTGTCACTTCAAGAAATCTATTCCACTTCATTCCACATACACAATCACTCTCTCTCCCGCTCTCTCCCTCAAACACATATGTTCTTGCTACTTCCAGAAACTGCGATACATTGTTTTTTTTCTTCAAAGCTATCTATATTCATTACAGATTGGATTTCAAGTGAATGTATTAATTGAAAAGTTAAAAAGAAGAACTGGGATAGCTAGCTCTATCTTCCTAGTATGAGATTCTTGAATAGTGATTGAGTGAATGAGTGGACATCCCACTACGGGTTGAAAACATATCGCTCAAATGTGATTTAATTTTTAATGATTAGTCAATGTATTTTTTCCCTATTTCTTTATTGATTTTATTCAAATAACAATGAAATAAAGTAACATATTGTTGTGGATTAAAATAAGAATAACCAGTTTTGATAAAGTTCCCTATCAATACAGAAAAAAAACAACCCGATATCAAAGCCAAAAACAAAAAAACTAAGATGATAAACAAACAGAACAAGCCTAGATTACTTCTTGCTTTATCATTCATTCATTCATGATTATAATTGATTATTATTGATTAGTATACTCTCTTGTTATATATCTATATCTAACTAATGAACTAATTGACTAGTTGTTGTTGTTGTAAATTTGAAGTACCATTTGGCATCCTCTTCTCTACACATAGATAGATAGATATTCACATAATGGTAGGCAGTATCCAAACAAACAAAAAACATACCAATTGACATGTATAAACAAATGTTTAAGAGAAACTATTATGTGACAGAACAGCCATGAACTAAACTAGATTCAGTCAGTCAGTAAGTCAGATGCAACGTAGAACTTCGTACGTATGTACATCAGTTCATGTTGCCATACCATATCAGCACAGAGATATAATTGTCAATTCAAATCCAATAGTAGTAAAGGTAGTAAAGGTATTAGAAGTAATCGGAGAGGTTAGGATTAGAAGATATTATTCAAGAAGTATGATTTAATGAGAAAAGTTTAGAAAGTCAAAACTAGAGTTGTTGAAGAACCCAGAAGATTAGGATTTGAGAGAACACAAAGAATAAATGCACTGGCGCCATTGCGAACGATTTTGAGCCATGTCATTCAAGGTCTCTAACCATCGATTATTATCATCTCACGGACACCAACCAGGTAGTCGACAATTACCGACATGGCTAAGTCCACTTTTCAATGACTTCATGGATTTGTGCCATGTTTTGGTTTGGCCGCCCCTAACTTTCTTACAACCTACTCCTACACTACAAAACAAAGTTCGTCGAGGCAGTCGGTGGTTGGGCATAAGCAAGACATGTCCCAACCACCTCAACTGATGAAGTTTCACCACTTCATCGATTGATCTGCCATCCTTGCCTAGTACTCGTTTCCTAACGACAGCATTGCTTACTCGGTTGTCCCACGATATACGAGCAATGCTTCGAAGACACTTATGACCGAAAACCAGTAACCTACGAATATCTTCTACTCTCACTGGCCATGTTTCACAGCCATATAGGAGAACGGAGCGAACTGCTGCACAGTACACTCGTCCTTTAATTAGAGAACGGATATACTAAACTAGATTACAAACAGTTGAACAAAAACTAGGCCAGAAAACGTTTGGTTCAATCACAATTGGAGAGAAGCTCCGCGGGAACATCTGGAAAATGTAGAATCACATGTCGCAATGCTAATTGAATAGTTAATCATACCGCTACTATGGTTAGTATAGTTCTCGAAACTCTCAGAAACCCAAGGTCATGCATGAGTAACTCCATGAATACCTTCATTTTTTTTTGTAAAGTAAAGTGCTCTTCTAGTACTTTGAGTCATTTCTCTTGTGCTCAAGTTGCGCTGTAGATTTAGTCTGAGGTTATTAGAACTGGATAGGAAATTAGATCTTACGTTTATTTAGTAGAATTATCATAATATAACAGTCGGGAAAAACTGTAAACTACCATCCGGTAATATTTATACATGAACTTACTAGTGAGTGTTAGTAAAGGTAATCATCATGTCTAATTATTCAAAAAGCAGTAGGAACTCTACCGATTGATAAATCTTAGTTCTACATGAAAATGCGCCACATGTAACGAGACTCAATAATTATCAAGCGTACGAACTACACAATCAGAATTGATCATAATCGAAACAGTAAATAGATTTTCTAAACACTGCCGCTTACAATCATGCTTATTTTATCTAAGATATTCGTAGGTTACTGGTTTTCGATCATAGGTGTCTTCGAAGCATTCCTCGTATATCGTGGGACACCCGAGTGAACAACGCTGTTATTAGGAATCGGGTGATAGGTAAGAATGGCAGATCAATAGATGAAGTAATGAAACTTCATCAGTTGAAGTGGTTAGGACATGTGATGCGTATGCCTAACCACCGACTGCCTCGTCGAGCTTTGTTTTGTAGTGTAGGAATAGGTTGGAAGAAAGTTAGGGGCGCCCAAATCAAAACATGGCACAAATCCATGAAGTCATTGACTACTGGACTTAGTCATGTCGGTAATTGTCGACTACCTGGTTGAGGTCCGCGAGATGATAATAATCGATGGTTAGATACCTTGAATGACATGGCTAAAAATCGTTCGCAATGGCGCCGGTGCATTTATGCTTTGTGTTCTCTCAAATCCTAATCTTCTGGGTTCTTCAACAACTCTAGTTTTGACTTTCTAAACTTTTATCATTTAATCATACTTCTTGAATAATATCTTCTCATCCTAACCTCTCCGATTACTCCTAATACCTTTACTACGTCTTCTACTATTGGATTTGAATTGACAATTACATCTCTGTGCTGATGTGGTGGTATGGCGACATGAACTGATGTACTTACGTACGAAGTTCTACGTTGCATCTGACTGACTGCCTGATTTTATCTATGAACTTATAGGAACTTTGCGTAGCAGAGGTGAATAAGTGGCAACTAGTGGAATTCAGGATGCGTATTTTGTCTTATCTGGGACTCGTCTGCTGCTAGATGTGCCTACATCTCACAGTAGATATATATTTACTTTGGGACGCAAACCCAGTAGCTTACGCTTCAATCATTATCGCATTACCCACTTAGCTAATGAATCCAGAAAGCCATTTGTTCGTGCGATGAGGTGAAGATGAATTCGTTTAAGTCGCCTTTTTGAATTTTCCCATTGATGTTTAGGGAATGCCATTGACCAATCTCTTTGACATCCATCAATCGACACCAAAATCAGAATTTTCAATACAAATGTCAAGACAGTTCTACTGTATGGGGTAGAAACTTGGAAAACCACCAAAGCCATCATCCACACAAGATACAAGTATTTATGAACAGTTGTCTACGCAAAATACTTCGGATTCGTTGACCAGTCAGTCAGTCAGTTACAACGTAGAACTTCGTACGTAAATACATCAGTTCAAGTTGCCATACCGCATTAGCACAGAGATGCAATTGTCACTTCAAATCCCATAGTAGTAGAGGTAGTAAAAGTATTAGAAGTAATCGGAGAGATTAGAGTTCGAATATGTTATTCAAGAAGTGTAATTCAATGAGGTAAATTTAGAAATAGAAAGATAGAAGTGATGAGGACTTCAGAAGGTTGTCATTTCATAGAACACAAAGAGTAAATGCACCTGATTCGTTGGTCAGACACCATCAATAACATCCTACTGTGGGACAGAACAAACCAGACTGCAGTTGAAGAGGAAATCAGAAAGAAGCGGTGGAAGTGAATAGGACGCACATTGTGGAAAGCATCCAAATGCGTCACAACACAAGGCCTCACTTAGAATCCTCAGGAACAAATGAAAAGCCGAAGGTCAAGGAACACACTACGCCGAGAAGTGGAGACAGACGTGACAAGAATGAACAAAAATTGGACAGAATTGGAAAGGGAGGCCAAGGACAGAGTAGGTTGGAAAATAATGGTCGGTGGTCTATGCTGCATTGGGGGGGGGAAGGTAACAGGCGTAAGTAAGCAAGTAGGTAAGTAGGTAAGTAATCTCTCTGGCATATGTTCAACTTAAGCATCCACTTCTGCTAACACAATGCTTATTATCTGACGGCAATAATAATTATTTATCAAGACAATCCACATAGGGATGCAGATATGCAAAAAAAGATTGATGATCAATTAATTACAAGTCCTAAACACATCAATGAATTAATTTACATGTAAACATGTAGATAACAACAAAACAAAAACATATTTAATTTGAATCATCAAAACAACGCTATACGCTTAAGTGTGACATCATTCTCAAGAGATGTGTTCAACTTAATCCTACATCATGTCAAGAAGAAGAAATTTCTGTTAACTATCCCATAAACAACCGGGAAAAGAGGTTGGTTGATGTACTAATCAAAGTTTGAAACTGCAGTTTGTACGTGTATCGATTTAGTGAAACAACTATAAAGCGTCAAATTGAATAGAAATTATAAAATGCTCTCTAACTAGTAATCTATTTAAGTAGTTGTTGAAAAACGACCTGATTTATAAACATCAACCACAATGTAGAATAGTGGCAAATAATATTGCAATGACAGTTACCTTTGATAGCTTCTCGACCACCGGCTAATGCTCCCAATGGAAGCATACCAGTTGGAGTAAGTCCTTTGAGTTCAAGTATAGTTTCACTTTCCTCTCTGAAGAATAAAATACAACAAACAATAAGAATATAATTTTTTTTCGCCAAAGAACTAGTTATAAAATAGCATAATTTTAAAATGAGTTTTATTTATATTCATTATATACTTCATCTTAGTATAAAGTTCCTCAGATATACGCATTCATGATCCCATCATAGGGAATGGAAGCCACAACCTACAATCTCGTGCGCAATTACATAACCTATTAACCAGGAAAAACCAGTGTGGTGCGAGCTACTTATAAGTAGTATATGACGTGAGTGTCAACATAATGTTTGGCAGCAAAAGATGGGGGAAGATCAAGAAAGGAAGAGTTAGAAAACAATGGAATTTGTATGAAACGCATGAATAGTGAGTGACAATGGATTGATGTTTTGCAACAGGAACAGTCCAGTTCGATATGATGAACTGATATTTTGCAAATGAACGATTTACGATATGGTTTTCGTATTTTACTGAGTAACTCTGTAATTTTCATTAAATACAATTCGGTTGCCCCACCTGTGTTCTCGTTCACTACACTACTACCAGTACTATGAGGTGCATGTCTAACTTCAATGAATTTTCAATAATTCACGATCATCCTGCAAAAATCTAACCTAAGCACTCCTCGTGAGACAACTCGGTAAGGAATGCAATCTTGTTAGCTTACTTAGGCGGTTATCGGAGGTTCGACTTATCATCCAACCTAATGCAGCGACTTATAGAGAGTTATTCAAGGCTCATACCTGAAAGCCGAAGGGACTGTTCGATGTGTACGCAGCCGTCTGAGACTACAAATCCACATCACGTAGGTTCGAATCCCATAAGGAGTATCGATTTACTTCAGATACCAGTGGGGCCTTGCTGACATGTGCCAACTAACAAAAAATCTAAGTTAAAGGTTTCTTGACTTACTGCTTCGAATCAAAAAGTATGCAATTATACACGTCTTAAAGGACAAACTAAAAGTGATTGACGAAATGTCGGAGAGAGAACAAAACAAATCACACTACATGAAATGATTCAGTTATTTTTTTAAATTATTTACGAAAAACAAGATATCATCAATCAATCTGAGGAAATAAGAAGTTGACTGATGTCTAACTAATCTAAGTTATACACATATATATATCTATGTATGTATAAGGAGAGCTAACCTCAAAACAGTGAATACACGAGCCATTTTACCAATCGCCCGAATTTTATTCCGTATCACATCTTTACGTGCTGTAATTTGTGCTATATAACAAAAAAGAATTGAGAGAAGTAGAAATAAATGTTTATGAGAATATGGAATTGGTATGATTCAATAGAATAATGATAATAATAATTGTGATTAGACCTAACAATTATTGATACTGAATATATATACAGAGAAGAGTTAAGAACTGTTACGCCTGCACGTAAACACGTCAACTTGATATACTTGAACTATTATTACGAGTCACCTTAGTCGGAAAATGAGAGCGAGGATCGAGGATCCGGTGACACGACATGCTACTTAAATCCGATTATCCCAACCCTCATATTGAGTAAAAATATAAGAAGACATCATATGAAGTAGAACGTGTATTCTACAAGCATTCAGAAAGTACGAGGTCCGAGAACAGAAGAGAATCATGATCCCGTACTAAGGATCCGGAACCAGGTCCTTGTCCCGGATAAGAATGTTTACGCTTATTTGATCACTCAAGCAGTGAGTCAATCAATAATTTATTATATAATCGATAAGTGATAATAGACTAAAAATGTATAGGATTGTTGGGGATGTTAGATCCCCAGAAATCGCTTGATAAATGCCTTATTTTGGATTTCACGTTTGCGAGCATATGCTGATCAGTTGACCTTGAGATTTCATTTCCCACCAGGAAAATCCATGGCTGTGATTGGCTGCTGTGTATTTTAGTGTGCTATTTTCGTAACGAGAGTCGTGTGCTTGATTGTATTGTGTAATTGCTGGGTGTTTGTAGAATATACTTTCTACGCTTACCAAGATTTCTGTCTTATAGCTTGGGATTCAAGGTAGCCTACCTGGACGCTGGTTCATTGTCTCGTTCGCGTTTATCGACTAAGGTGAACTCGAAATAGCTTCAAGTGTACCTACCTAGTGACGAACATAACAAGGATTTTGTTCAAATCTTGAACCAATCGAAGTTAGACAACCCTTGAAAACTGGGAGGCTGTTCCATTCTAGAGTGAAATTCTTAGACAGCGAGCATTCAGGTCTCGCAGTAGGAGCTTAACGTTCAGACTGCTGAGTGTTCATCTGATGCTCTGTCTACACATATCTAACTTCCAATCCATTCGCAGCACTGTATAATTAATCAATCATCTCCCAACACCATTGACCGAGTTAAACCAGCTTTACATTTAACATTGAACTGCTGCATTTCAACTGATCACAATGCCTTACACTAGAACTCTCATATAGCCAAATAAAACAGCTGTAAAATGAATTCTTCTTTTTGTTCAAAAGTGATGATCTAACTAAGATCGATTTATGATGTAAACTATGAATGCGATTCAACAATCTGTGTAAAAATCCTTTCTTATTATAATTTTTTTTAGTGGAACACACTAAATATAATAATAATAATCATAATAACTATATAGGATTGTGTAAAAGGTGTCTTTTAAGAAAGAAAGTAAGAAAGACATTGTTTATTATAACAGGATTATGAAATCAATAAACATATTGTGTGTGTGTCTGTGTGTGTGTGTGCGTGAAGAGAAAACAGATGCACAAAGAACAAGCCATATATACACATACTACTAGCCTATTTATTAAAATGTCCCAATCTAAAGACAAGTAAGTTTTTTTTCAAATAAAGACCAACATACATTTTCTACAGTACAAAATTAACGAACGAAAAGTAACACAACTGATTTAAGTAGTTCAATAAAGCAAAAATAACTGTTTTCTCCTCTTCAGTCAGTTGTGTATTCTTTTGATATTATTGTAGTGAAAGAGAACATAGGTGAGGCAACCGAATTGTATTTAACGAAAATTACAGAGTTGCTCAGTAAAATCGGAAAACCATATCGTAAATCGTTCATTTGCAAAATATCAGTTCATCATATCGAACTGGACTGTTCCTGTTGCCAAACATCAATCCGTTGTCACTCACTATTCATGCGTTTCATACAAATTCCATTGTTTTCTAACTCTTCCTTTCTTGATCTTCCCCCACCTTCGGCTGCCAGACATTATGTTGACACTCACGTCATATACTACTTATAAGTAGCTCACACCACATTATGATTATTATTATGTTTTATTATGATGATTCTGATCGTGATATAGGTTACCATTGTGCCTGTTTAATGTCATACTGAACAAGTTGGCTAATTCAATGGCTGCTACTAAGTACACAGATTGATGTATGCTAACATTGTAATCGTGACAGGTAATGAATGTTCCTCTACTCGGTTGCTGCTTATCCAAAATAGATGGAGTAAGATTCAAAGCTCCGAGCTTTAATGAATCGGAGATGAAAGTGATAAGAAGCATTGAACTACCATTCGGTTAGATTGGAGGCAAGTTTTAAATTGTCTTCAATCTAGGTTTTATGTTGACTACTATTCTGTCATCAGCATAAATAGTTCTTGTAGGATTCAGACATATAGTATTTAATGTCAGATATTAACACAGTGTTGTTTGGGCCAAAATCGATAGCAATCAGAGTTAGTATGAAACGTCTGTAGAAATTTTCGAACTAGATAACGATTAAGAACCAGAAAGTTCTAGACAGAGTCTCTATCCTATCTTAACAGTGTCACCTATAACCACACTAGGAGGAATTAAACCCAGGACCTTTCAAGTCTGGTGATGAGCACCTGAGCTTTCGACTAGTCATTCAGGATAAATATATTGCGCAACCAACTAACGCCATTGATGGATAACTGGCCTGTACCTGGTAGGGCAGATTTGACTGGTCATAGTTTTTCAATAGAATTCCAGGAATCACCTTACGAAATCAGTCATTAATTGTTAGGATATTTATCCAAAACTCTGAGAGAATTATTGGTCAATTCCTATTGGTTAATTCGTATTGTTCAATTTTATGGTCATTCTGGATATCAATGTCACTTCAAGTGTTGTTTCCTATTGGTCGTCTTAACTGTCAATGTCACAGACTTCGATGCTGTTTCCTGTTCGACCTAAATGTATAAATACGCATTATCTGTAACGTTTTATGTCCGTGACTCGGACTCACTTTCCTAGGCCTTGATCCTGGTTCTCTTCTGGACTCGGACCTGGTACTTTCTGGATGCATGTAGAATACAGGTTCTACAGGTTCTTCTTCTTTTACTCAATATAGGGGTTAGGACACTCGAATTAGAGTCGCAAGTCGTGTAGCCGGATCCTCGCTCTCGTTTTCCGACTAAGGTAAACTCGTAAGAGTCCAAGCATCTCAATTTGACATGTCTACGTTCATGCGTAACATTAATAAACATATGATTTATATCAGTATAAAAAGCTTACAGTTTTATTTATTATTTAATGAAACACAAGCATCGATACAAAGGGGTGCCTTAATATTCATGTACCACACAAATTATTTTTGAGTGGACTGGGATACACTGCTTGGGTACACAAACAGAGATAGGTGGTTTTTTTAAGGGGTCAATCCCTGGGTCTTTAACTAAGAAGTCTAATCCATAAAGCAGTGATGCAACGTCAGGAGATGCAGTCCCACGGTAGTTGACGACAAACACTGGGTTCATAAACAATACACTCTTTCAGGATCCTGAAGCCAGTATGCACCAAGGTGGGTTCGCCATACCCGTCAGAGATCATCGAATCTCACCACGAAACCCAAGAGGTTCTAGGGTTCGATGTCTGCTGACCTTATGAATCAACAATGATAATGAGTGCCATTATCATGGTCGCCAATTTTCCTCTTCTTGAAGTCAATGCGTGATTTAAACCAAAAAAACATTCAGAATTTCCAACCACTTGCCCATTCATACAATACATCGTGATGAAGATCAGAGCAAACACTCTGTATTAATGCAATTAGTTTAGGAATTTTAGATAAGGATAGATAATCTGATCCAAATTAACTATGTCCGGAACTTCTTCAAATAATTAACATTGATTTATGAATTACAGATGAAAAAAACAAAAAAGGAGAAATATACAATTCTTGAAATGTAATTAGACCACTGAGGAAAGTATTTATCAACAAATGTAACTACTTCTAACACATAAATAATCACTGTAGTCAGAATAAGAGTTTAGTTGAGATCAGATTTCCCTCGCCCCCAGAAGTCAACAAACTATCAATATACTTCACTTTAATACCACTGCAATTATATAATGTTAATTAGTGTGAAAAATCTCTCAGTTCAACAAGAGGTCCATCGAAACTTTAACTTCAATTCTGTGATAGAGATGAATGAATAATTAGCAAATACTGAAATATCGCAGAAAATATTAACTCTAATCAAGATTAATCATATCAAAGATCATTTAGCCACGAAAACTAAGATATTATCATCTAAGCGTCCAATAGGTGCTTGAAAATGTCTGGATATGAACAGCAAAACTGACAACATAATACAAATGGTCAAAGCAATCAATCATCAACTTAGCATGCATATATACATATACATCCATGTATATAGAAACTTACATTCATCTTCTGGTGTATCCGATAATAATTCATCATCTGAACATATATTAAGTACACTGACTAACATTTCAGTAACTAAAACAAAATAAAAAAAAGTAAGTAATTCATTAAATATATACGCCAGTGATGAATTGATTGAACCAGAAAAATAATGATGATGATTCAGCAACATAGAACTTCGTACGTAAGTACATCAGTTCATGTTGCCATACCACATTAGCACAGAGATGTAATTGTCAATTCAAACCCAATAGAAGTAGAGGTAGTAAAGGTATTAGAAGTAATCGGAGAGGTTAGGATTAGAAGATATTATTCAAGAGGTAGAATATAGTGAAATAAACTTAAAAAGATAAAGTGACGAAGAATTAAAAAGTTAAGGATTTGAGAGAACACAAAGAATGAATGCACCTGCACCATTGCAAACGGTTTTTAGCCATGTCGTTCAAGATCTCTAACCATCGGTTACTATCATCTTGCGGACCTCAACCAGGTAGTCTACAATAAGTAATATGGCCCAGTCCACTTGTCAGAGACTTCGTGGATTTCTGCCATGTTCTGGTTTGACCGTTCCTAACTTTTTCTCAACCTAATCCTACACCATAAGACATCTCTTGTCGAGGCAGTTGGTGGTTAGGCATTCGTAACACATGTCCTAACCACCTCAACTGGTGAATTTTCAATACTTCATCTATTGATTTGCCATCCCAATCTAGTACCCGTTTCCTAACAACAGCATTGCTTACTCGGTTGCCCCGTGATACACGAGCAATGCTTCAAGGATACCTATGATAGAAAACAAGCAACCCAAGAGTGTCATCTTCTCTTACTGGCCATGTTTCACAGCCGTAAAGTAGAACGGAGCGAACTGCTACGCAGTATACTCGGTCATTAGTCAGCAAACCGATATCTCGCCAGCGCCATTAATGACGTAGGTTGGCAAAAGCCAATCGAGCATTTTGTATCCGTGCTGAAATTTCGTCACACACCAGGCCATCAGCACTGATGAGACTCCGCAGATAAGTGAAGCGTTCAACACACTCAACTGCTTCACTTCCTATCACACTAGTTCAGGTGCCGATACACACACCAATTCTGAAGCAACATTTTGTATTTCAACGAGGAGAATCACATCCCAAACATGTTTGCATTGTTGCTTACGGTAGTCAAGCAACACTGCATATTGTCAGCGTGCTCACCAAGTAGAACCATATCATCGGTATATTTCTAAGTCAACCAATGAACAAAAAAAACAGAGTGGTACCACCAACACTAAGTCAGTAGTCATTGTAATAGTCATTGAAATAGTTTTTATATTATGAAATTTCAAGCGAAAATCAATTTATATACCAATGATGAGGCTTTATTTTTATTTAAAATGAAAAAAAACAAACTCAGAAAGCAATTTTCAAACCATTCAAAAATTGATGATCATTTTGTAAATTAAACATAATCACGCTATTATTATTATTATTATAATTATTTTTTAAAAAATGTTTATCAAGAAAAACAAAACATGAAAGAAACTCAATGCAACATTGAAATTAAAATATGGACACCAGCTAAGCAAATATATAATAAACACACATTGAGAATGAAGTTAACACATTTTTATATGTGTGTTATCAATGTGTTAAGTGGGAAATTAAGGCCGTGAAATGCAATTTTCAGAAAAAGAAAACATCTAGATTGAAGGAATAAGTCAGAGTAATTTATTGAATACAGATAAAAAAACGCAATAAACATCGAAACCGACTTGTTAAACGAAAAAAATACTTTAATTTTCACCTAAATAAAACAACGCTTATTGACTTACAATATGCCGATGACATAGTCCTACTTGGTGAAGACGCTGACAAAATTCAGAGTCTTCTGACTACCATAAGCAACAATGCAAGCATGTTCGGTATGCGATTCTCACCCTCGAAATGCAAAATGTTGCTTCAAGATTGGGTTTCATCGGCATCTGAACTAGTGATAGGCAGTGAAGTAGTCGAACGTATAGACCGCTTCACTTATCTTGGGAGTCTCATCAGTGCTGATGGCCTGGTGACTGACGAAATCTCAGCACGGATACAGAAGGCTCGATTGGCTTTCGCCAACCTGCGTCACTTATGGCGTAGGCGAGATATCCGTTTGCTAACTAAAGGACGAGTGTACTGTGCAGTGGTTCACTCCGTCTTACTTTATGGCTGTGAAACATGGCCAGTGAGAGTAGAAGATATTCGTAGCTTACTGGCTTTCGATCATAGGTGTCATCAAAGCATTGCTCGTATATCGTGGGACACCCGAGTGAGCAACGCTGTTATTAGGACACGGGTGCTAGGTAAGAATGGCAGATCAATAGATCAAGTGCTGAAACTTCATCAGTTGAGGTGGTTGGGACATGTGTTGCGTATGCCTAACCACCAACTGCCTCGAAGAGCTTTGGTTTGTAGTGTAGGAATAGGTTGGAAGAAAGTTAGGGGCGCCCAAATCAAAACATGGCATAAATCCATGAAGTCATTGACAAGTGGACTTAGTCATGTCGGTAATTGTCGACTACCTGGTTGGTGTCCGCGAGATGATAATAATCGATGGTTAGAGACCTTGAATGACATGGCTCAAAATCTTCGCAATGGCGCCGGTGCATTTATTCTTTGTGTTCTCTCAAATCGTAATCTTCTGGGTTCTTCAACACCTCTAGTTTTTACTTTCTAAACTTTTCTCACTAAATCATACTTCTTGAATCATATCTTCTAATCCTAACCTCTCCGATTACTCGTAAAACCTTTACTTCCTCTTCTACTATTGTATTTGAATTGACAATTATATCTCTGTGCTGATGTGGTATGGCGACATGAACTGATGTACTTATGTACGAAGTTCTATATTGCATCTGAGTGACTGAACTAAAACAACAACAACAACAACAAACAACCAATTAGAGGAGAGTAGACAACAATTGTATTCTCTTATCGATATTGGCTATATATGTACGTGTATAGAAGTAACAGAGTACACTTGGGAGAGACAGAAACATGTAAAGATGGCGAATGTGAGTGTACTCACATGTAGATAAATCACATACACACATTACCACCAGTATAATCGAAGCTATCCAAATGCACACATTAAGGTACGTACGTGTATTTTGTACACACATTCCAATGTTACAATGACTGATGTGTCACTGTGACACATTTTTATTATACAAACAAGGTGAAAACAACAACTGTTAAGATAATTATTATAATGGTGACATGAATGTAAGTTGTCATCAAAGTGTAGTAGCAACAATAACAACGACAGAAGTGTGGTAAAACCCAATTCAATTGATTTCTCACAAAGAATATCGTATGTGCATGTGTCTGTGTCTGTGTGTGTGTATGCGTTTTACCACAGAAGGCAGGTTATCAGTGAAATTGACAACTTAAAAGACAAAACAACAATAATAGGCAGGCGGTGGACATAAAAAAGATGAATAATCAGTAATGAGTGGCAAAAACACAACACAACACAAAGTAAACAAAATAGTGATACAGTTAAAAAAAAAAGAAGAGATAACTGATCGTTAAAGGAATAAATAGATAGAAGGGAGAAAGAAGCTGAGGAAAGGTCAGGTTATTATTTGGTCAATATTATTACTATTACGTAATACGGCCAATGATTGGTTCATGAATTCAGTAATAAGCAACAATCTTCATAAGTCTATGATGAAAAATCTTCACAATGCCGCTCACTAATGACCAGCTTCATGAGGAAATTCTCGAAGTTCTTAGTGAGAATACATGACTAGTGGAGTTGAACCCTGTCGGGTGTAGACAATGAATGAGGTCGAGTAAAATCTCTAGATTGATCAGAGTTGAACACTAACAAAGTTGGTCCAATGGCCCAGAGGTTAGGCGTTCGCGCCCAACACCAGAGGTACTGGGTCCGAATCCTGCGAGTAGCAGGAGTCATGGATGCGTACTGCCACTGATGAGTCCCATATACCAGGACTTGACGGCCGTCTTTCAGTGTTTCCAGGTTCTTAATGATGGTCTAACAGCGATCTATTCGTGAATTCAGTAAGAAACAAGTGTGTGGGAGAAATATATGATCATCTCAACGACAGCAAGAACAACAACAGCGTAAAGATAGTATGAACAGAATTTTGAATTGAATTGTAGTTGTGTTTGGTTGTTAGTCGAAGGAAAACACACACTATCATCAATCACCATCTACCAATCTAATATCTACCAGTTGGTAAAAACAACAACAATAATAGTAATAAGAGATTGACTATCATGGGAACAACAACAATAGACTGTCACGTATTGTGTTTGTGCGGAAGACAATCATGGGATAAAGAGAGAGAGATGTAGCAACCGACACAACGTCCTACTAATTTAGATCAACAAATAACAATAAAATGAGGTCAATGCTTAAGGAATGTTTGTTCTAGGTTAATTAATTTTTTTTTTCACCAAAAAGAAAACAGAACAAAGTAAACAGTTTTGCACAAACACAAATCAATAGTCACTGAAAATGACTGTATGTAACGATTGAAATAAGTAGTCTAAACACAACAACAAGTGGAGAGTAGAATGGAAAGATGATGTTAGTGAAACTATCATTATCATAAGTATTGGAAAGAGGAAATAATTAAGGATAAAAGTTGAATTGAATACATTGTTAGAATGTGAAACTAATTGAATGATTTTTTTTCCCGCCAAAGTTCAGTCAGATAATGACTCAAAACAATTCTGAATAGCTGTATGTTTCAACTACATGGTTAAGTTGTGTTATATTTTCCAGGCTATAGTAAGCCTGGATAGTGTCTAATTATCCCGAAAACCAATGCAGAACAATCCTCTTGTAGGGTGTATTTATAATTATCCACATGGATAGCTTGACCTCAGTTAGTCAGTCAGTCAGATACAACGTAGAATTTCGTACGTCAGTACATCAGTTCAGATTGCTGTGCCGCATTAGCACAGAGACGCAATTGTCAGTTCAAATCTTGACAATAGTTGCAACCTCGACATGATGTTCGGGCTTGACTATCGTGATGACCCAACCGAGCTATATTAGCTGGAACAGATGTTTCTGTAGGTTCTACCATGCAAGGCAGGTCGGTTGGAGAACAATGAGACTAAAAGTAGCTACTCAAGGTCTGAGGGCAAAGTCTTACTGCTGACTGCAGAGAAGTGTGACAGTAGTAAGGTGTTTCCCTCGGACAACCAGCATCTGCAGCGAATCTGCCTTCTCACAAGGGAGGGATGGTGTTTAGAAAAGGTCAACCCTAAAAATGTCACACCTCACCTTACCTCACAGATTTCCATCTCCAGTGGTAAGGCCTTTTAAACTAGAGCGGAGCTAACACTTCAAAAACTTCTCATAAAAAGCGATGCGTGACCGACCTCAAGCAGTTGTCCCTTAGGCTCTACGTTCACACAACCCCAGGTCGCTAAAACCAACACTAATCTACATTCCTTTTCAAGTTCTTCAAGAAACACTCTTCCATGATGTAAACAGTCGGGGAGTGATATCCGCCCTCATACCCATAACAGCACACGAGGGATCAAATTAGTCACAATCAATTCCTTCCTATAGCTTGACCTACTTAGCTAGCTTTATACCTGAGAACTAATCGTCCCTTAAATTACGATAGTCGTTGTTACAATGCATTACAATAACTCCATTCTCTGCTACTTCTACCAATAATAACAATAATAATAATAAATTTTAATAACAATCAAAGAAAAAAAAAAAGGAGAATAAAATTTAATTAAGCTTCAAATATTTTATTATTGTCATCAATTTAATTTTTTTTTCTACATATTATAAACCACGATTCCATTTTCTTTTGCTAGTCAACATCATTTGGAGAAGAGGAAATTAATGAGAATATGTAGTTAACGGATAAGACATTGAAGAACAAAATGAAATTTATTTTGAGTAGAACAGAAAAACATCAAGCACAAGCACATCCATCGAATAAACCAGTTGTTATTATTGCTGAAGCCATACAGTAAAAAGGGGATGATGTTCATTAAAAAACAGAATAAATAAATAAATATCAATGAAAAGAAACACCCAATTCATTTTCTTCACTGGATTATAATACCCTTAGTTCTCTTTCAACAGAAATGATTTTTACTCATTTTGCTTATTTACTCCTCCTACATCACAAAGCATAACTGGCATCGAGGGAATAGTCGGTAGTGGGGTATACGTAATACATGTCCCAACTACCTCACAACTGATGAAGATTCAATTAATGAAGTGATGAAACTTCATCAGTTGAGGTGGTTGGGACATGTGTTACATATGGCTAACCACCGACTGCCTCAACTGGTGGTGTTTTGTGGTGTAGGGATAGGTTGGAAGAAAGTTAGAGGCGGCCAGACCAAAACATGACAGAAATCCACGAAGTCACTGTGTTGTAACGGTGTGGTTAGATAATCTCCAGCTAAACCCTATTGCTTAGTATTCTTTGACCACACAATACACCGGACAAGTTCCCAAGAATCAAAAACACGGTTGAACAGGAAAAGATTATATTCCAAATAGCAAGGTTAAATGGAAATAAGAAGTCAAGGGTTATGGCGAAGGCGAAGGCAAAGATAGATACAACGTTAGTCTATTTATAGCATTTACATGAGAAGCTTCTGGATAGAAAGTCACGTGATCGACTGGATTAGATTTAACCAATCAGCACACAGCTAACAGTACGAGAATCTTCTACCCTGTTCTTCAAGATTCGATCTGCCGCTGACTGGATAGGAAATTAGCCAATCAGCGCGTAGCAACGTAGTCATGCTTTAATTCCATCTATGTCCCACTAACACACTGACAAGTGGACTACTGAGTCATGTTGGTAGATGTAGGCTACCTGGTTGGAGTCCGCTAGACGATCGTCACCGATGTTTAGAGATCTTAAACGAGATGGCTCAAAATCGTTTGCAATGGCACAGGTGCATCCATACTTTGTCTTCTCTCATGATCTCATGAACTCAGGAAATTTTCTTATTCCTTACTAAGTTTATTTCTCTCGATTATACTTTTTGAATAATTTCTTCGAACCCTAATCTTTTCCATTACCATTCTTACTTCTACTATCTCTACTACTATGGAATTTGAATTGATACTTGTGATCTCTGTGCTAATGTGGTATGGCAACCTAAGTGAATGACTGTAGATTTATCTCAAGTAGGCTTTAAGTCACGCTTCAAATGCAAGAGCTCCTACTGATGCTAATCATTTGCTAAAATTGAAGTAAATAGAATAGGATTTTAAAACTGCAACTTATTTGAGTGAAAGTTGAACGACTAAACTTATAAGAGTCTAACTAGTAAACTTAGTTTTAGCTATTAGCCAAGTGCGGGCAGAAACATTGACAATGACATCCTTTTACGCATTGCCACCATGCATCATAACACAAACAAAGAGCTTTATCTGACTGTCATTATCTTAGAGAGTTAGCATCTAACAGATTGTCTACTCCTTTACATTGAGTTTCTAACTCAAATGAGTATATTGGTGATCAACCCCCCCACATCGCGTTTGACATATTCTACGCATATAGTTCCACTCATTATCTTCAGATCGCATAAAAATCCTTCACTCACTCACACTCACACACACACACACACACTCTATCACACACTGTCCAACTTCTACATATTTAAACATTCATCTGATAATCATTCATGGCTAGTTGTAAAATGTCAAAAAGAAATATATATATGGATATGTAAAAATATTCACCTTTTTCACCGACAAATGGTAATGACCAAGTGAATACATCCATAAAATTCGGTAACCAATATGGATGAGGTGAACAATTGAATTGACGTATATTCATGACATTATTTTCATATTTTAATATAGCAGCTTGAAAAAAAGAAAATATAAAAAACATGAGAGTGAGAGATAGAGAGAAAGTGAGAGAGAGATAAAGAAAACCCATTGTCAATTCAATAAACCAACCAATCAATCAATCAGTCAATCAATCAATCAATCCGTCCATCCATCCGTCGGTTGGTTGGTCACACAATGGAATTGGGGAAAAGGGCAATAAAACAAAACCATAAAAACATCTCTTTTTTCGGGGAAAAAAATCAATAGAACCAGGGGAAAAAAGAAGAAGAAAATTATAGAAAAGAATGGAAGAAAAATAAACCTTTAGGGAAAAAAAACGGAGAGGAATAATATGAAGAAGATGAGGAAGAAATAATGATTTAACAGAGACAAAACTAATTTACATAAAGAAAATAATGAATAAGTCATTTGAATGTTCAAATTAGGAGTAGTAGTAGTTAGTAGTAAACAATGTTTGTTTCATTTTTTTTAAAGTAAATTTACGTTAGCGCAATAGAATCAAAAATGTAATGTTCAGTCAGTCAGTCAGTTGCAACGTAGAACTTCGTACGTAAGTACATCAGTTCATGTTGCCATACCACCACATCAGCACACAGATATAATTGTCAATTCAAATCCAATAGTAGAAGAGGTAGTAAAGGTATTAGAAGTAATCGGAGAGGTTAGGATTAGAAGATATTATTCAAGAAGTATGATTCAATGAGAAAAGTTTAGAAAGTCAAAACTAGAGTTGTTGAAGAACCCATAAGATTAGGATTTGAGAGAACACAAAAAATAAATGCACCGGCACCATTGTGAACGATTTTGAGCCATGTCATTCAAGGTCTTTAACCATCGATTACTATCATCTCGCGTACCCCAACCAGGTAGTCGACAATTACCGACTTGGCTAAAAAATGTAATGTTGTGTTTTAGTTAGTTTGTTTGTTTGCTTTGATTTGTGATGGAAATACACAAGGAACTGAGTGTGTTGATGTTCATGTGCAATGAGACTTGAACTCTTAGTAGTGTGGCACTTCAAACAGTGTTGTTAGTGGTTGTTATCCGATAAGTTTTAAAAAAAAATACACTAACGTCAGCAAACTCTTACAACAAAATCTTGTATCTGCTGTACAAATTAATATCTTATTGGATTCAGTAGAGTTTAGTAGATAACAACAGCCGAGTAAGCAATGCTGTTATTAAGAAACGAGTAGCGCGTAGGGATGGCAGATCAATAGATAAAGTAGTGAAACTTCATCAGTTCAAGTGGTTGGCACATGTGTTACGTATGCCTAACAACCGACTGCCTCGACGAGCTATGTTTTGTGATGTAGGAGTAGGTTTGAAGAAAGCTAGGGGCGGCCAAACCAAAACATGGCACAAATCCATCAACTCACTGACAAGTGAACTGAGTCATGTTGGTAAATGTAGGCTACTTGGTTAGGGTAGTAATCGATGGTTAGAGACCTTGAATGACATGGCTCAAAATCGTTTGCAATGGTGCAGGTGCATTCATTCATTGTGTTCTCTCAATTTCTAACCTTCTGAATTCTTCATCATCTCTTTAATTGTCTTTCTAAATTTATCTCACTGAATTTTACTTTTCGAATTATATCTTCGCTCCCTAATCTTCTCCCTTACTGCTAATAATTCTACTATCGCTATCACTCTTGGATTTGAACTGACAGTTTCGTCTCTGTGCTGATGCGGTATGACAACCTGAACTGATGTGTACGTACGTACGAAGTTCTACGTTGTAACTGACTGACTAACTGAGTAGATAACAAGCTGATGTTTAAAGCTGAAGGTGCTAGGATTGAGTCTCAGGGTAGGCATTACCACACTAAGATAAAGGTAGATTCAACTGTTGGGTTCCAAATAATAAAATGAAAAGCTCATCCTATATTCCATTGTTCCGCGTTGCCTAACTTTATTCAAATACCTGTGATTATATAAATGACAATATTGAGGCAATCTCCACTCACGATACACATATGCAATCATGAATACTAACAACAGGAAAATACAAAACCCTTGTAAATACTTAAAGATGGATAATAGATACAGACTTTATGATGACTATGAGATTATTACTGAATAGTTCCGACCATTCTATTCATAGATAATGTAAGTATTATTGTCAATGAAGCAAATACTATTACTTGAAGAACCCTAAAATGATAGTGAAGGTTACGTGATAGATAACAATGGAGCCTGAGCACAAATATATATCAGTGTAAGTTTTCAAGAAATAAGATGAAATGAAGAAGGTATTTAGTAAAAGGTCCAAAGTAAGAACAGTAACTGAGACTGTAAAAAGGTTGGACAGGCGGAACATAACTCGAAAGGGAGTGAATTCATGGAACAAAATATGTTAAGTATTATTCAGACTCTAGATCTAAAATTCATGTACACAATAAATAAATCTATGCCGAATGGTCCCTAACAATAGTTCACAATCACTGAGCAGATCATAAACAGGTAGGCTAAACCATCCACAACACCTTAATTGAACAGTCAATTATTTCAAGGGTTAGTGCTGCATCTGGACTTCGCAGATGATCTGACTCTTCTATCGCACACGCAACAACAAATGCAAGAGAACACGACCAGTGTATCAGCAACCTTAGCAGTAGTAGGTCTCAACATAAACAAGGGGAAAAGCAAGATTTTTCGACACAACACAACATGCGCCAACCAGATCACTCTTGAAGGAGATGCCCTGGAGGACGTTAACACCTTTACATATCTGGGCAGCATCATTGACGAGCACGGTCGATCCAATGTAGACGTAAAGGCGCGGATCAACAAAGCAAGGACAGCATTTCTATAATTGAGAAACATCTGGAACTCAAGACCACCTATCAACCAACAACGAAGTCAGAATTTTCAATGCAAATATCAAGACAGTCCTACTGTATGTTGTGGAAACCTGAAGAACTACCAAAGCCATCATCCACATGATACAAGTATTTATTAACAGTTGTCTATGCAAAATACTGCGGATCCGTTGGTCAGAAACCATCAACAACAACCTACTGTTGAAGAGAACTAACTAGATTCCATTGGAGGAAGAAATCAGGAAGAAACGCTGGAAGTGAATAGAACATACATTGAGGGAAGCACCCAACTGCGTCACGAGACAAGCCCTCCCCTGTAATCCTCATGATTAAAAGAAAAGAGGAAGGCCAAGGAGAACACATTACGTCGAGTATTAGAGACACACATGAGAAGAATGAACAAAAACTGGACAGAACTGGAAAAGGAAACCCAAAACAAAGTAGGTTGGCGAACACTGCTCCGCAGCCTATACTCCATTGGGGGTGACAGACGTAAGTTAGTAAGTAAGTAAGCAAGTAGTGCTGCACTGTGGTCTGGTCACCAATATCCACCATTTAACTAAACCCCCAAGTTAGATGCATGAAAAGATAGAACCCCTAATCTAATCAATTTATCGTAGTCATGTCAATTGATATCTTCACTTGATCTAGTATCTCATGCCAAACTCCAGTATTATTCATTTGATGACTCCAGCATAAACGATTATTCGACTACTGGTGACATAAGTGTTTACTGCAGCCTTAACTGTCATAAATTAAAAGAAAATAGTAATTTACAATCGCCATAGTTTACCAAACAATAAGTTTGTCAGAAATCTAATCAATATTGTGGATTTGAAGGCCAAGTCATAAAACTAGAGGGATCAAAGAAACGACTAAGATAAATGTGAAACAGCTGATACTCTCAAGTACTTTACTTTCATATAAACAGAATAAGCTCTAAACTAGACCAGTAATTTTTAATGAGCATATTTTGCATCTAAAGGAAGGAAAACACATTTCAAAATGTTAATAATCAAACAAGTCGTATTACAAGTGAGTGGCGACCAATGTGGTTTATCCAAGTCGCCTGATCAGTTCTACTCAAAACACAAAAAAAACGGAAAAAAAACTCCTAGAATTCCTTTAAAAAAAAACTCAAAGTTAGAAACACAAAAGATTGGTTCCAGGGAAGATTTAATCACTTTCAAACATGACGACAATTCTAGACAAAAAATACACTTAGTTATATATATATACATGAACTATAGTACACCCATTACTCCATTTGATTAATTAATTAATTAATTAATTCATTAATTAGGAAAACGTGTTATTTAGGTATACGAAAGTATATAAAAAAAAATCACATGTTGCATGTCATGTTGAACATAGTGCATGTTAATCCTCCAATACAAAGAATGTTATATACTTGAATAGATACTATATTGAAAATATTACACTGAATAATGATAGTAATATTCCGTCAGTTAGTTAGTCAGTCAGTCAATTACAATGTAGAGCGTCGTATGTGCGTAAGTCAGTTCATATCCAATAGTCGTGGAGATAGCAGAAGAATTACCGGTAATGGAAAATATTAGGGATCGAAAATAGTATTCAAGAAGTGTAGTTCAGTGAGATAAACTTTAGAAAGAGTAAGATGGCGATGATGAGGAATTCTGAAGATTAGAATCTGAGAGAACACAAAGAATGGGTGCATCTGCGCCGTTGCAAAAGATTTTGAGGGCTCTAACCATCGGTGATTTTCGACTCGCGGACCCCAACTAGGTGGTAGTCTACATCTATCAACACCACTCAGTATACCTGTCAGTGATTTCATGGATGTCTGCCATGTTTTTATTTGGCCACCGCTAACTTTCCTCCAGCCTACCACTCACTACACAACAAAACATCGATCGTCGAGGAAATTGGTGGTTGGGCATTCGTAACACATGTGCCAACCACCTCAACTGATGAAGTTTCACTACTTTATATATTGACCTGCCATCTCTACCTAGTACTCGTTTCCTAACGACAGCACTGCTTACTCGGTTGTCGCAGGATATACGAGTAAGCAATGCTGTCGTTAGGAAATGAGTACGATAGTAATATTAAACAAAAGCTAAAGAGATGGTGGAGAAAATCTGTAGCTCAGATGGATCATTGTGGTAGTGTTCCGTTCTCTGTGAGCTGGATGGTTTGGTTGTGGAGCTTTCATCATTGATCTTCTGAACAACATCACAGACCTTATTCTCAACTAAGGGAGCAACAACACAAGAACCCACAAAATCAACTACATACAAACTTTGTTCAAGGGAGCGAAGACACACTACATATGAAGCACTAAAAATGCGAGGAAAATCATCTTGTGACTATCTTCAAAAAGAACGGCTATCCATGCAACTTCATCAAAAAACATCAACCGAAATCATCAACAGAAGCGAAACCAAGTACACGAACCAATAAATGGATCATCCTACCAAAAGACATATCGGAGCATACAGCATGACTACTGAAACCATTTAGAATAGGTGTGGCACACAAACCAACAGAAACACTTCAATCAATCTTATGTGTAGACCAAAGGACAAAATGACAAAGGAAGAAACACCAAATATCATCTACAAAAATAAATTGCTCAGACTGTGAAAAGCAACACTTCACAGGACAAAGTGGTCATCCTCTTCAGCTTCGTTTATGTGAACACCAATTAGCGGTCAAACGCCACGACAATTCTTCTCTTATACCAATACACACCGACAATTATGGACATCCGTTCGATTGGAACAATGTTGACATACGGAACGGGGGAGTAGACAGAACACTAGATAATTTTTACAAATTAGTTAGCAATCATCAAAAAACACATCAACATTGACCCACTATATATAAACCAATCAGAAATATCATACGCAAATATAGGATCAAAAAAACAGATCAAAAAGGGGGATACAATCAAAAATCAAAGGTTGCAAACAACGACAGACTGAAAGCCAACAACAACCAATCAAAATCGCGAGATTAACAGAACAAGTTACAGGTCAAACATGAAGAAATTCGAATACTTCTCAACTTCTTCTATCTGAAATTTGTGCTGATGACGTGGTTGTTTTGTTCAGAAGACTAACAATGATGAAAACGTCACAACCAAAAAAAAAAACCAAATCCAATTCATAGAACGAAACACCAGTTAGTCAGTCAGTCAGCTGCAACGTAAAACTTCGTACGCAAGTACATCAGTTCATGTCGCCATACCACCACATCAGCACAGAGATGTAATTGTCAATTCAAATCCAATAGTAGAAGAGGTAGTAAGGGAATTAGAAGTAATCGGAGAGGTTAGGATTAGAAGATATGATTCAAGAAGTATGATTTAGTGAGAAAAGTTTAGAAAGACAAAACTAAAGGTGTTGAAGAATCCAGAAGGTTAGGATTTGAGAGAACACAAAGAATAAATGCACCGGCGCCATTGCGAACGATTTTGAGCCATGTCATTCAGGGTCTCTAACCATCGATTATTATCATCTCGCGGACCCCAACCAGGTAATAGTCGACAATTACCGACATGGCTAAGTCCATTCGTCAATGACTTCATGGATTTCTGCCATGTTTTGGTTTGGCCGCCCCTAACTTTCTTCCAGCCTATTCCAACACCACAAAACATCTCTTGTCGAGGCAGTCGGTCGTTAGGCATACGTAACACATGTCCCAACCAACTCAACTGATGAAGTTTCACCACTTCATCTATTGATCTGCCATTCTTACCTAGCATCCGATTCCTAATAACAGCGTTGCTCACTCGGGTGTCCCATGATATACGAGCAATGCTTTGAAGACACCTATGATCGAAAACCAGTAACCTACGAATATCTTCTACTCTCACTGGCCATGTTTCACAGCCATAAAGTAAGACGGAGCGAACTACTGCGCAGTACACTCGACCTTTAGTCAGCAAACGGATATCTCGCCTACGCCATAAGTGACGCAGGTTGGCGAAAGCCAATCGAGCCTTCTGTATCCGTGCTGAGATTTCGTCGAACGAAACACCACCACAAAAGCTACAACAACAAAAATTCTAAATTCACCTTTTTTCCATTCAACTAATCTAATGACGACTATTTTTTAGTCATTTTGGTGATTTAAAACAAACTAGTTTTTTTAATTCACTAAAGGATTAGAGAGAATTGTTCCATTTTTTTAATTGAATCACGCATTGACCTTAATTATAAACAACTACTACTGAAAATAAAAAAGAGAAAACCGGAAGGAGTAGTAGTGAGAGTAGTAGTAGTGTGAGTAGTAGCAGTGTTAATTATTCTATTGATAATTGAACTTATTTACCTTTATTATTATAAACATCTAAATAATTTGGTGCAGAGAAAATTGTAATTAAAGCAGGAAATCCAGTTTGTCGGCTTTTTCTATACATTCGATAACTGTAATTTAAGAGAGAGAGAGACAGAAAAAACAAGATAAATATAGAGGTGACAAAAAATTTCAATTTTTTTATTTTATTTTATTCTATAGATAAAATGATGTTATTGAAATAATATTTTTTTCTAAGGATTCATAGAGTTCATTAAAATCTGTGATTTATAAATTGACTGCATTACAGGGGTTGTGAAGATTCTTAAGCTACACATTCTTGAAATCATGAATCGATCAATGTTAGACCACCATTAGAAACCTGGAAGCACTGGACGGCCGTTTCGTCCTGGTATGAACATTGATCGGTTCATGGTTTCAAAAATGTGTAACTTAACAATCTTCACAACCCCGTAATGTAAATTACCTGTGCTCACTAGTGACCAGCTTCGTGAGGAATCTTCTCCGAGTTCTGGTGCGAAGACGTGACCAGTGAAGTTCAACCTGTTCGGGTGTAGACAGTGTCTACCGAAGACTGTGTATGAGGTTGCGCAACTCCGTGAATATGATCAAGTTAGACATTAACACTGTTAGATACCGGCTCAGTGGTCCAGAGGTTAGGCGTTCGTACATAATACCGAAGGTCCTAGCTTCGAATCCCGTGGGGAGCAGGAGTTGCGGATGCGCACTGCCACTGATGAGTCACATACCAGGACGAAACAGCCGTCTTTCGGCGCTCTCAGGTTTCTAATGGTGGTCTAACATTGATCCATTCATGGTTTAAAAAATGTGTAACTTAACAATGTTCACAACCCCGTAATGCAAATATAGAGGTGACAAAAAATTTCATTTTTTTTAGATTTTATTTTATAGATGAAATGGTGTCATTGAAATAATATTCTTTGTTTGTTTTTTAATTTTTTTAAGAATTCATAGAGTTCATTAAAACCTGCGGTTTATGGATTGATTGCATTATAAGGTTGTGAAGATTGTTAAGTTACACATTCTTGAAATCATGAGTGTTACGGGTAGAATGAGGTTTCAAGAGACCAGGAATGACGTTCCGTGAACTCGCATCGTTTGCATTAGCGGTGCAGTCAGATAAGCGAATGTGAGTAGAGTTAGTTGTGGAGAGAAGAGATGTATGTGTGGGTGTAGGAAGGATTTGATTTCGACCAGATGGGTCTCTCGTGCTGTTACGGGTATGAGCGCGGTTGTCACTTCCCGGATGCTCACACCGTGGAAGGTTGTTTCTTGACGAACCTGAAAAGGAAGATGGATTAGTGTTGGTCTTAACGACCTGCGAGCGTGACCTCAGAGTCCAAGGGACAACTGCTTGCGGCCGGTCACGCACGGCCTTTTTATGAAAGGTATTTTGAGGATTAGCTCCGTTCTTAAAGGCCCTTAGTGGGCACCCTTACCCAAGGAGACGGAAATCCGTGAGGTAGGGGAAGTGTGACATTTTTAGGGTCGAGCTTTTCTAACCCTTCCTTCCTTGTGAGAAGGCAGCATCGCTTCAGATGCTGGTTGTCTGAGGGAAACACCTTACTGCTGTCACACCACTCTGCAGTCAGCAGTACGACTTCGCCCTCAGATCATGAATGGACCAATGTTAGACCATCATTAGATACCTGGAATCATTGGGTGACCGTCAAGTCCTGGCATATGGGACTACTCATCAGCAGTGCGCATCCATGACTCCTGAACCCCGCAGGATTCGAACCCAGGACCTTCGGTCTTGTGCACGAACGCCTAACCTCTGGACCACTGAGCCGGTATCGAACGCTGTTAATGTCTAACTTTGATCAATGCACGGAGTCGCGCAACCTCATACACTAACTTCGGTAGTTACTGTCTACACCTGAACAGATTGAATTTCACTGGTCCATTTGATTTTCAAAAAAATGTTAAATAAAGAAATTAAAATACGATTGAGGCATGGATTATGTATGTTCAACTAAAGCCTACATTGATACTCACATTATGCTTAATAGTATGAGAGTAATTTAGAAGAATCCAAGATATGGGCCCAACTATGAAACGAACTCGATTCCTGAAGTCATTAATAGTTGGATTAAGCCGTATTGATAAGTATAGACCATCTGGTCGAAGTCCATACGATTATCATGACTTTAATTATTACAGTCAGTAGTTGTTATAGCTGACAATCTGTTACAGTGGAACAGGTCTATCCAGTATTTCTATCCGAAAAATTCACTCATTCTACTCGAATCATATTATCTATATCCAGTAATCTTTCTGAGTGTCACTGATTATATTACTATTTCTTCAACTTTGAGATCTGTTCTAGTAATTTCATCTATCTATCATGATGGTGAGTGACAACTTTGAACAGATAAATATGTATTACGGGGTTGTGGAGATTGTTAAGTTACACATTTTGAAACCATAAATCGATCAATGTTAGAGCACCATTAGAAACCTGGAAGCACTGAAAGACGACCGTTTCGACCCAGTATGGGACTCATCAGCAGTGAGCATCCACGACTCCTACAACCCGATGGATTCGAAACTAAGACCTTCGGCCTTGTGCGCAAATGCCTAACTTCTGAACCACTGAGCCGTTATCTAACACTGTTGATGTCTAACCTGATGAAATCACATTAAAGCCGTGGTTCAGAAGTTAGGCATTCGCGCAGAAGACCGAAGCTCCTGGGTTCGAATCCTTCGCGGTGCAGGAGTCGTGGATGCGCACTACTGATGAGTAGTCCCATACTAGGACGAAACGGCCACCCAGTGCTTCCAGGTTTATAATAGTGCTCTAACATTGACCGATTCATGATTTCAAAACAATGAATATGTGTCAGGTACTAACTATATCGCATATACCTGACTGAGACTGTAAAATATTTCTGATCAAAGGTGAATCATATCTTTCTGCATAGAGAATCTGCGTGAATTTTTCATGTCTTAATTACTAAAGACGTTAATATTTTTTGTTTTACTTCAAATGCACAAAACGTCTTTACCATAATTATGCTGAACATAGAGCCGATAGTTCCAAAATACTAAAAAATTAGCTCAACACAATGCAAAATAGAGCATCATTTAATATTGTGGTGGTGTTTCGTTCTCTGAACTGGATATGTTTTGGTTGTGGAGCTTTCATTGTTCTTCTGAACAGAACAACATCATCAGCACAAACTTCAGATAGCAGAAGTGAAGCATTCAAATTTCTCCACGTTTGACCTGTAGCTTGTTCTGCTAACCTCAGAGAACGAAACACCACCACAATCATCCACCTGAGCTACAAGTTTTCTCCACCATATCATTTAATATAGAAAATGTTTAGCAACAACTAGAATATACATGGACAATGATCGATTACGCTAATTACATCAGCTAAATGCTTGGAACGTGAATCGATCAAATTCAACTCAATAGTTGAAATGATAATCCGCTTACTACTCACCACTCCCCCCCGCACCCACCAACGATCTACCAATTTCATCTTGTGCAGATTTATAGATGAGCAAACCAAGACAACATGTCTGTTTACGATGAATAGGAGATTTTCATATTAAAGTTCTTTAGTTGATAACTCATAATAACGAGAATGATTTTTAAGCAATATCCTCATAGCAGTGCGTACTCATCACCACACACTACAGGGAATCGAACCCAAGACCTTCGACAAGGCATGTTATACCATTAGATACCGCGGTTAATGGTCTAAATAGTAAGTGTCCAAGCGTATAGTAATGGTCTAGTTAAAATCAGTTTGTGAATATAAACTATACTATCTCCATAAATTACTTAACTAGTTTGTGAAAATATATTACATAATAATGACAGGTTGTACAACCCCTTTACCTTCCCGCCTTTATATATTGCAGAAATTCACTGAAAGTATAATTTTTGTAGTTTCTTTTTCAGTAAATGATTTAAGTAAGAAATAAAATGCAAACACTTTAGAACACAATATATTAATTAGCACTACTAATCACTTCATACTATATAATAAAAATTAATGCCAATTAATTATAGTATTATACTACGTTAATAACCGATCAATATTTCTTTAAGATGTTTTTTAATGCTAAGAATTTATGAAGTGTACTAATCAATGAAAATCTTGATGCTCTTGCAGCCACAAAATTTAACTAATTGATTAATTAGTTAAGGTAATTTTGACAATGAAATTTAACAATAAGCAACTGGTAAAATTTGCTCACTGATGACAACTAGCTTCGTTAGGAAATTCTCGGAGTTCTTAGTGAGAAGACGTGACCAGTGGAGTTCAACCCTGTCGCGTGTGTAGGCAGTAACTAACAACGACAAACAATGGGTAAGGTCGCGCAAAAATCCCTAGATTGATCGGAGTTAGACATTACCAGCGTAAAATACCGGCTCAGTGGTTCAGAGGTTAGGCATTCGCACACAAAACCAAAGCACCTGGGTTCGAATCCTGTGAGGTGCAGGAGTCTTGGATGCGCACTGCTGATGAGTCAGTCCTATACAAGGACGAAACGACCATCCATTGATTCCAGATTTCTAATGGCGGTTTAACAATGATTGACTGATTGACGATTTCAATAAATAATAATCATAGTAGTAATTTCTATTGAGAAAAAAATAACTCAACTAACCCAGCATCTTGAGCTTCATGTGCTCGTATTATTGATAATAAATTATTAGCTTGTAAAAAATGACAACAAGCATTAAAACTGTAGAAATAAGAACATCCACGAACTGTATTATGACTGAAATGTTCGGAATTTCTCTCTTGACCAAAATCTTCACATGGATCAGCCCATAATAAATCACACATTGCACCAAATGCTGGCGGTTCTTTAAATCGATCCAACTTTATTTTTAAAATAACAAAAAAAAGAAAAACAAACAGACCAGAGGAAGAAAACACGTATAAGATCGTCCAATTTCTACGTGGTACATTACATTACACATAAAACTCTGATCGACTATGAAATCAATACACACCACGGAATCAGTTCTCGTAAGATTAACGGTACAGTTTACTACGTACAAGCACCAATCGGTTTGTAAAAACTTAAATTGTGAACGGATTATTGTCGATTAACATCGACCAATCAATATATATCAACACAGTGTACACAATGCCGAATCATTTAGACTATCTATGATAAGTAGTGATCACGATTGCAACTTGATGAACAGAATTCAATCTGTAGTGAAAAAAAGGAAACGGAACAACCACGACATTGGTCAGTACTCCTTAGTATAGTGATCAAATAATGAAAATTGTCAAGTAGAGAATAGTTTCAAAGTTTAAGAGTACAATGAAAAATTGTTTAACTCTAAAGTATGATACTTATCATAAACAATATTCCATCGCCTCGTGGTATTACACTTTTTTTTTAATGTGGAGATACTTTAATCGGAGAGTGATGTTTATGTCGACGGCGAATAGGAATTTATTTATCTTCAGTAATTTATCCTCATTTAATTAAATGTTATTTTGATTGTTCAAGTGATTCAAGGAGCTGCCTCTCTCTCTCTTCTATACGCTTATATTGTCACTATTTGGAGTTTTCACGTTTCACAATTATATAAATTTACCCTGTATTGTCTAGGGCAATTTTACATTGGTTTTCAGGAGAACCAAAGAGACTGGACATGTTTTACCATTACTACATGAACAATTCGGCTCAATCCTGTGGTGCAACCACACAGGTACCTGATACCCTGGTGGACCATTCACACCGTTTCATATACACACATTGGTATATATATTTCCGAACAATGACCGCGTCAATCAATATGCACCGCATGAACAGGCCATTTCGACCCATCCCGCTTACATGACTGCCAAACTCATTATTATTAGCAATGGTGATATGTAATACAGCACCCCTAATGACAATGGCCCTCGGGAATGTCACAAAACAATCACCTATATCAATGAACTTGGTCACCCTGCAAACCAATTTTGTATATGGACTGTTAACAATGCTTACCAAAGCAAAGCAAAGCCATCCACAATATTCACAGCGAACCTCTAGTCTCATAGGAGACCTTCAGCTTTATATAGCAGTATAGCATATGATGTACACATATATGGCGCAGGATAGTAGAAGAGGCAGCCCAGCTTGATGAAATAGGCCCAAACACTTCTATTACCCTTTGTCTCATGTCGGGCAATGATTTTTTTGGCGTCTCCGAAATTTTCATTTTTCGACCATATGAGACCTGAGTTAGGGGTAGTATCCCTGGAGCCTTCACGTGTATACACACACATATATATAGACACAATATCTTTGTTTGAATGAAAAACGTAATGATTATAAGAAAACCTATGAACATGTTAGTGTTATGATATGAGGGTGCGAGATCTGAACTCAAAACCTGTCAACCTTCTGAAACTGATTACCTGAATAGGAAGGCGAGAGTAAAAGAGAAAGTTTATCTGGCTATACATTCCACCTCATTAGTAAAGGAAGCCATCTCATGACTAACTGATATGTATTTTTGCTTTAGGATATTTTCTGAAGGCTATTAAATGACCTTCTCATTTTGTCACTTCTGATTGGCTTACTGAATCAGTTTGTTTTAATGTTGCATAGAACGAAAACAGACAATAGTCAGTTAAAGCTTTGAAAAAGACTATCAGTAAAGACGCTCCAGGGAGGATTGATAAATTGTCATACTTTACATCACAGAATGATAACATTTAACTACTAGAGAATAGATTCCTATTCGTTAAATAGTGTTTGTGAGTAATAGTATTTTGGTCAACGACACAAACATCACTCTCAGATTGAACTGTCTTCACATAAAAAAAGTATAATACCATTAACTGAGTGAGGCGATGGAATATTGTTTATGATAAGTATCATACTAAATCAAAACAACTTTTCATTGCTCTTGGGGACGTTAGATCCCCAGAACTCACTTGGAAAAAATCCTAATTTTGGATTTTACGCTTTCGAGCATGAGCTGATCAATTGACCTAGAGATTATACTTCCCACCCAGAAAATCCTCGACTATTATTGATTGATGTATCGTTTTCGTATGCTATTTTTGTGGCTCTCTCAAGGACGTTTCTATCATGTATAAATAAACTCGATTTGTGTGCTTGTAGAATACACTTTCTACAATATATCAAAGCTTCTTCCTTTACTTAGTGGGACCTTTGGACGCTCAGATTAGAGTAGCCTATCGAATCACTGCATTATTTGGCTTCGCTCTCGTTTGCCGACTAAGGTGAACTCGTAATAGTAGTTTCAAGCATATCAATCTGTCGAGCATAACAATTGCACTATTGGATTTCAAATTATTCTCTACCTAACAATTTAGTTAGAATGTCATTGAAAAACAGCGAAGACTGAACAGTTGCTCATTCGTTTTAGAATGGAACTCGTTAGTAGCAGTGTGCACTCACGATCCTACCGATTATCAAACTCAAGACCTTCATAATCTGACAATGAACACTTAACTTTACACATAACTATAATTTGTCAACTAGTTTTCAATCAATTTCATAGCCTAAAGTAATTAAAAATACAAATAGTCATTTAAGCAATGTAGTTTTTTAAAAAATAAAATGACATAAATTCAATTGCAAGAGATAAATAGTACTCAAAGCATACAAGAAATTGCATCCTTACCTTACGAATATCATTTAATGTATGCAATTCAGGTGATAGACCACCGTGTACACATAAAAATTGTTGATTGATCAATGCAGCTAATGGTAGAAAATCAAATGCCTCCATACATGCATCATAAACACGTTCTGTACTCTTCATGATACCTAAATATTGTTCAAGTAGAAAAAATTAATTGACATTTGATCGAAACAGAAACTGATAATAATAATAATAATAACTATACTACTACTACTGTGGTGCGAGCTACTCATAAGTAGTATATGACGTGAGTGTCAACGTAATGTCTGGCAGCCGTGTCCCAGCAGCGGGAACTAGTAAACGCTACACGTTGGATAGATGCCGTACCCATTCCAGACCAGCGGGCAAGAACAATGACCGAAGTAGTAATCCGGCATATTGTAGCGCGTCAAGGAATACGGAAGGTGATATTAACTGACCAGGGTCCCTGTTTTGAAAGTGTCGAGTTTAAAGCCCGTCTTAAGCAGTTTGGCGTCAAGAGGATACGAACTACACCGTATCATCCGCAGATAAACGGGCTTACGGAGAGAAGACAAGAAGCAGCGCGTAAATGCTAGTCAACTGCAGAGATGGTTTCAATATTATCAAGTGTATGAGTCACGAAAAGCACCAAAGATGACAACGGTACGGCAATCAGAAAGACTACGACGACAGCTTATTAAAAGGGGGGACGAGTGTGGTGCGAGCTACTTATAAGTAGTATATGACGTGAGTGTCAACGTAATGTCTGGCAGCAGAAGATGGGGGAAGATCAAGAAAGGAAGAGTTAGAACACAATGGAATTTGTATGAAACGCATGAATAGTGACAATGGATTGATGTTGTTTGCAACAGGAACAGTCCAGTTCGATATGATGAACTGATATTTTGCAAATGAACGATTTACGATATGGTTTTCCGATTTTACTGAGTAACTCTGTAATTTTCGCTAAATACAATTCGGTTGCCTCACCTGTGTCCTCATTTACTACAGTAGTAGTCTAACATTGATCAATTCATGATTTCAATCAATAACCCAATAATCTTCACAATCCATTCTTTGTGATCTCTCAAATCCTAACATTCTGAATTCCTCATCACCTTTATCTTTCTCTTTCTAAAGTTATCTCACTGAATTATACTTCTTGAATAATATTTTCGAACCCTAATATCTAGGATTACTGCTAATACCTTTACCACCTCTACTACTATGGGATTTGAAATGACAGTTGCATCTCTGTGCTAATGTGGTATGGCAATATGAACTGATGTATGTATGTACGAAGTTCTACGTTGCTGTTGATGATGATGATGACATATATATATGTCAAAATAATGTTAATCAGATCTATCACTTGTGTCCAGTTGAATAGTCATATTTACTGCTACACCTCAGGGTTATGCAATAAAATTAATTATGAAATTTATTGATAACTTTAAAAAGTAACGGATATTTTCTTGTCAGTCAGTCAGTCAGTTACAACACAGCACTTCGTACATGAGACATCAGTTCAGGTCGCCATACCGCATTAGCAGAGAGACGTAACTGTCAGTTCAAATCCACTAGCGTTAGCGATAGTGCAGATATTAGCAGTAATCGAGAAGATTAAGGTTCGAAGACATTACTCAAGAACTATAATTCAGTGAGATAACTTTAGAAAAAGAAAGACAGAGATGATGAGGAATTGAAAAGGTCAGAATTTGAGAGAATACAAAGAATGAATGCACCTGCGCCATCGCAAACGATTTTGAGCCATGTCGTTCAAGTTTTCCAACCATCGGTGACTTTCTTATCGCGGACCCCAACTACGTAGTCTACATCTACCAACATGACTCAGTCCACGTGTCAGTGACTTCATGGATATCTGACATGTTTTGGTGTGGCCAGCCCTAACTTTCTTCCAACCTACTCCTATACCATAAAACATAGCTCGTCGAGGCAGTCGGTGGTTAGGCATACGCCGCACATGTCCCGACCACCTCAACTGATGAAGCTTCATTAATTCATCAATTAATCCGTGATATTGATACAAATCAACCAGTACAAATTCGTGTACTCAGCATTGATTCATCATACTTTATATGTGTGCAAGTTAAATATACTAACACAATGTGCCTAAACTGAAATAGGTAGAGTGGATACTTGAAACACTAAACTAGTAGTTCAAAAAAAACTAACAAAAACGAACGATTTAACCATCCAGTCACACAAAAAAGTATAATTCGAACTAGATTAACAAATGTTTCTAAAGTAAGCAGTTCAATGATTTTTATTGAATAAATAATTTTCAGAAAATACTTTAGACTAGTGAACTTAAAATGCATACATATCACGTTAAAACTTATTAGCTATTAACTGTCTATAAGAGGATTAACGTGATATTAACTCATTGATAGCTTGAAACTCACTTAAAAGTTGAATACATCTTAACTGTTTAACCGATCATATTCTTACGTGACAATAAAATCTTAAAATGTCAATGGAGTCAAATCGATTGCATTAATCATTCTATGATTTCAGTAAAACAATATCATCTATCACTTCTCAGTACCTACTTGATCGTAGCTGCTACATTGACGTGATGGTCGGGCTTGCCTGTCGTGATGACCCAACCGAGCTATATTGGCTGGAACATATGTTCCTGAAGGTTCTACCATGCCAGGCAGACAGGTTGATTAGAGAACGATGAGACTACAAATAGCTACTCAAAGTCTAAGGGCTAAGTGGTACCGCTGAGTGTAGAGAGGTGTGACAGCAGCGTCTGCAGTAATGCTGCATTCTCACAAGGACGGAAGGGTTAGAAAAGGTCGACCCTAAAAATGTCACACCTCACCTTACCTCACAGATTTCCATCTCCAGTGGGAAGGCCTTTTAAACAAGAGCAAGCTAACACTTCAAAATTTTCTCATAAAAGGTTGTGCATGACCGGTCTGAAGTAGTTGTCCCTCGGGTCCTGTGGTCACGCTCCCAGGTCGCTACCTTCCTTTTCATGTTCCTCAAGAAACACCCTTCCACGGTGTGAGCAGCCGGGAAGTGACATCCGCCCTCATAGCCATAACAACACACAAGACCAAATTGGTTACAAACAAATCCTTTCTACACTCCCTAACACTTCTCTTATCTCCACGACTCACCCTTCTTACATTCCTTTATCACAGTACCTCAGTCAGTCAGTCAGTCAGATGCAACGTAAAACTTCGTACGTAAGTACATCAGTTCATGTCGCCATACCACATCAGCTCAGAGATGTAACTGATAATTCAAATCCAAAAGTAGAAGAAGTAGTAAAGATATTAGCAGTAATGGGAGAGGTTAAGATTAGAAGATATTATTCAAGAAGTATGATTCAGTGAGATAAGTGTAGAAAGACAAAACTAGAGATGTTGAAGAATCCAGAAGATTAGGATTTGAGAGAACACAAAGACTGAATGCACCGGCGCCATTGCAAACGGTTTTGAGCCATGTCATCCAGGGTCTCTAACCATCGATTATTATCATCTCGCGGAGCCCAACCAGGTAGGTAGTCGACAACTACCGACCCCACTTGCAAAAACTATACTTTTTTTCTATAAAAATAGAATATTTAACAAATCACATAGTATGACTATCATATCAATCAGTAGAGTAGTTTCACTGTACTGACACATAAAACGATTATTGTTACAAAAGAAAAAGAAACGAGCGCATATAAGAAACATTTCCATTTTAAATCATCCCAATAATTTACTAGCCATAAATAAAATCAATTCTAGCGTAATAATAATAATTACAAATTACATTTCTATATATTTACAGAAGTGTAAACTGTTCATTACCAACTGGTCAGGTAATTTCTATAAATGATTTCAAGTTGTCTATTTTTTTTTCGCAACAAAAAACTTACATTATTCTCAAATATACACAGGCTTAAGATTTGAGATTGGTTAGATTTTTTTGAGAATTCACAATAGAAAAAGCCAATAATTATAGTAAGTAGTATTGTGAATGATATTTCAATTTATAATATTTCTACAACAGATTAAACTCCATCAATTTAAGGCTATATAGGCAGAAAGCTGAATGGAGATAAATTAAAGAACTATAAGTTAAACGGAATAACTAGCAATCTAATTTGACAAATAGATTTCCATCTTGTAATAATGTGAAAGAGCTAAGCAGGTTAAGCAAGTGTTGGGGATGTTAGATCCCCAAAATTCGATTGATAAATGCCTTATTTTGGTTTTCACGTTAGCCAGCATGGGCTGATCAGTTGACCTTGGGATATTTCATTTCCCACCAGGAAAATCCATGGCTGTGATTGGCTGCTGTGTATTTTAGTGTACTATTTTCATAACTGTCTCAAGGACGTTCCTATGTTGTATAAATAAACGAGAGTTGTATGCTTGATTGTACTGTGATTGTTGGGTGTTTGTAGAATATACTTTCTACGCTTACAAAGCCTTTTATTTCGACTTTGGGTATTCGAGGTAGCCTACCTGGACGCTGGTTTATAGTCTCTTTCGCGTTTATCGACTAAGGTAAACTCGTAACAGCCTCAAGCATATTAAGTGACGAACTTATCAGCAAGTTATACTTGAAATATTGAATTCTTCTTAACCGATCCCTACTAAACTCTCATGCTCTTTGATAATTGAAACACAAAGTAAACCTGAAGAAAAAAGTGCTAATTAAATGTAAGAACGTCGTCTACTACTACTACAACTGCATAAAACTATATATATATATATATATATATATATATATATATATATATATATATATATATACAGCGTTATAGGTGTTCTTAAGGTGGTGAAAGCTTCTAAAATGAAAATATTTAAGTTGGCAGTAAGTTTAGTGTTTACCAATCATGTTATGAACAGACATAACATGTTGGATTCGAGATATTTCTAAAGGGCTGATAACGAATAAAGCTAGTTGGTTAAAGTAATTTTGAGGCATTTTCTTAGAGGCAAGTAATTTTGTATATTTACCAACATTTAGTCAGTCAGTCGGCTACAACGTGGAACTTCGTACGTACGTACATCAGTTCAAGTTGCCACAACAGATTACCAAAGAGAGATAGAATCGTCAATTCAAATCCCATAGAAGAAGAGATAGTAGAATTATCAGCGGTAATGGATAAGAATAATGTTCAAAGATATTACTGAAGAAGTATAATTCTGTGAAATGAATTTAAGGAGCGAGAAGTGAAGGTGATGTGGAATCCGGAAGATAAGAATTCGAGAGAATACAAAGAGTGGATACACCTATGCCATTGGAAAAGATTTTGAGCCCTATCATTCAAGGTCTTTAACCATAGGTTACTATTGTCTTGCGGATCTCAACCAAGTAGTCTACACTTACGAACATAGCTCAGTCCAATTGTCCTTTTTTTAAAGACCGGAATAATCAATAATTTAGACCAGTTAGATGGGATTACGCCCAGGTCTCATACTCTACCGAAGATCACAATCAGTCTCACTGTTTATACTGATTCGCAAAGATTATGTGTAACGCAGTTATAAGAAATACCTTTTTTGCTTCAAAACCCTGATCCCCAGTTTTCATTTGACCTATAAACTATCATTGTAACTTATTCTATTATCGAACGATTGTAATTTATCCACGAAATTGGCACTTTGATTTTTTTAAATTAGAGTTATGGATATAAGTGTTCTTACACATTGAAATCACCAATCGAAAGACACACATACCTGGAAGCACTAGATGGCCGTTTCGTCCTGGTATGAGACTCATCAGCAGTGAGCATCCATGACTCCTGCATCTCACAGGATCCGAACCCAGGACCTTCGGTCTTGCGTGCGGACGCCTAACCTCTGAACCACTGGGCCGGCACCCGACGGTGTTAAATGCCTTGTCTTGGTACACATTGTATCTTTTCGCTTTATCGTGCATTGTGATGCATATATCTATGCATTTAGCCGTGTAACCCCTGAGTTAGTTAAAAATACACATCACTGCCTAATCCGGATAGACAGTTTCTCCACTATAGTTGTCTTCTGTTTTTCTCTCAACTAATCAGCCTCCTCCATGTAGTAGATTATCAGTCAGCAAACAGAACAATTTCTGATCACAGAGTGAAATCGGTGACAATCGAAGGTACTCAGTTAGTCTTACATTCATACTAAGTAGCCTACCATATCAAGGCCGTTTGCTAATTCTGCAATAGCTTCCCTGTAAATGTAATAATCGAACTAATGGGTAAATCAAGATAGTAAACAAGGGGGATTCTAAGCATTGTTGAATCTTGAATTTTATTTAAACAACTACGTAAAACTAAACGAACTCAATGAAGAGCTTCCAATTTAGGGATAAAACAATTGCCTAGTATTCACTAGTTTCAATGATTGTTTAACTGAAGTCATTTCATGATGTAAACTAGAAAATTCCAAGAATGATACAAAACTAACACAACGATAGTATGTATAACTTGGTTAGTTAAATTCATTATCAAAAAAGTGAATCAAAATACAAAAGTATAATAGAAGCGTAATTTATCTTATCCTTTATCTTGATTAATACATATACATTATTCTATAGTCAGTCAGTCAGATGCAACGTACAACTTCGTACGTAAGTACATCAGTTCATGTCGCCATACCATACCACATTAGCACAGAGATGTAATTGTCAATTCAAATCCAATAGTAGAAGAGGTAGTAAAAGTATTAGAAGTAATCGGAGAGGTTAGGATTAGAAGATATTATTCAAGAAGTATGATTAAATGAGAAAAGTTTAGAAAGTAAAAACTAGAGGTGCTGAAGAATCCAGAAGATTAGGATTTGAGAGAACACAAAGAATAAATGCACCGGCGCCATTGTGAACGATTTTGAGCCATGTCATTCAAGGTCTCTAACCATCGATTATTATCATCTCGCGGACCCCAACCAGGTAGTGGACAATTACCGACATGGCTAAGTCCACTCGTCAATGACTTCATGGATTTCTGCCATGTTTTGATTTGGCCGCCCCTAACTTTCTTCCAACCTACTCCTACACTACAAAACAAAGCTCGACGAGGCAGTCGGGGGTTAGGCATCTGCAACACATGTCCCAACCACCTCAATTGATGAATTGTCACTACTGCGTCTATTGATCTGCCATTCTTACCTTGCACCCGATTCCTAATAACAGCGTTGCTCACTCGGGTGTCCCATGATATACGAGCGATGCTTCGATGACACCTATGATCGAAAACCAGTAACCTACGAATATCTTTGACTCTCACTGGCCATGTTTCACAGCTATAAAGTAAGACGGAGCGAACTACTGAGTAGTAGACTCCTCCTTTGGTTAGCAAACGGATATATCTCACCTACGCCATAAATGACGCAGGTTGGCAAAAGCCAATCGAACCTTCTGTATCCGTGCTGAGATTTCGTCAGTCACCAGCCATCAGCATTGATGAGACTCCCAAGATAAGTGGAGCGGTCTACACGCTCGACTACTTCACTCCCTATCACTAGTTCAGGTGCCGATGAAACCCAATCTTGAAGCAACATTTTGCATTTCGAGGGTGAGAACCGCATCCCGAACATGCTTGCATTGTTGCTTAGGGTAGTCAGAAGACTCTGCATTTTGTCAGCGTCTTCACCGAATAGAACCATGTCATCGGCATATTCTAAGTCAATAAGCGAGCCACCTGGTCAAAGGTCTACTCCTGAAAATTCAGACGAGGATAATGTTATGTCTAGGAGCATGTCTATGATAAAATTAAACAAGAATGGAGAAAGTGGACATCCCTGACGGACACCACTTGAAGTAGAGAATTCCGTTGACAGTTCGCCATAAGCTCTCACTCGACCAGTGGTGTTCGAGTAGAGAGCTTGTATAAGGTTAATATTACTTTTTTGGTACACCTAGCAATGACAGACACTGCCACAGAACCTCACGATCCACTGAGTCAAATGCCGCTTTTAGGTCCAGGAAAACAACTATTGTAGGACGCCTAAATGTGTGTCTATGTTCCAGGACCTGTCGTAGTGTGAAGACGTGGTCTATACAGCCACGTCCAGGTCTGAAACATTATTCTATAAAGTAATATATATATTTATAAACAGAAAAACGATTCCAGAAACATTAATCACAATAATAATAATCATAAGACTTACATTCTTGTCTGAACGTAAAATATTGTGTTAAATGACGACATTCATGATTCCCACGTAAAAGGAATAAACTACGTGGATGTAGAATTTTTAAACTGAACAAGTAAATTAAACACTGAAACACAAAATAAATGTAAACAATAATAACAGTTATTATTATTATTATTATTATTATCATTATTATTATTATTAATCTGTCATTTCTTGTTTGCTATGATTTCCGCATATATAGATAATAGCATTAACATTAAATATAAACAAAAGCTGATTTTGTCACTTGTATAACGCGTGGTAGAGATCAGTAGAGCAATAGTGATTGGAAAAGTTATGTTTTATGGATCATAGACAGACAGACAGACAGGCAGATAGATACAACGCAGAACTACGTACATGAGTAAGTACATCAGTTCAGGTCGCTATGCCCCATCAGCACAGAGACGCAACTGTCAGTTCAAATCCAACAGTGATAGCAATAATAGAAGTATTAGCAGTAATGGAGAAGATTAGGCAGTGAAGATATGATTCAAGAAGTATAATTCAGTAAGATAAATTTCGAACGAGAAAGGTAGAGATTATGAGGGATGCAGAAGGTTAGAATTTCATAGAACACAAAGAGTAGATGCACCTGCGATATTGCAAACGATTCTGAGCCATGTCATTCAAGGTCTCTAACCATTCGTGACTATCGTCTCGCGGACCCCAACAAGGTAGTCGACATCTACCAACATGACTCAGTCCACTTTGTCAGTGACTTCATGGATTTGTGCCATGTTTTGGTTTGGCCTACCCTAGCTTTCTTCCAATCTACTCCTACACTGCAAAACATAGCTCGTCGCGGCAGTCGATGGTTAGCCATACGTAACACATTTCTCAACCACCTCAACTGATGGATCATACCATGGCCTCAGGTTGGTTGATCAGTCAACGGTCAACATCAACAACAACAACAACAACAACATAGAATCTTCGTACATACGTACATCAGTTCAAGTTGCCATACCACATAAGCACAGACATGCAATTAGTATTAGTATTAGCAGTAGTCGGAGAGATTAGGATTCGATGACATTATTCAAGAAGTAGAATCTAGTGAAATAAACTTAAAACGAAAAAGATAAAGGTGATTAGGAATTGTGAAGGTTAGGATTTAACCGAACGCAAAGAATGGATGCATCTGTGCCATCGCAAACGATTTTAAGCTATAATTCGGCGTCTTTAACCATCGATTACTACCATCTTGCGGACCTCAACGAGGTAGTTGACACCTATCAACATGTCTCAGTCAACTTGTCAGTGACTTCATGGATATCTGACATGTTTTGATCTGACCTCCCCTAGCTTTCTTCCAACCTATTCCTACATCGCAAAACATAGTTGGATGAGGCAGTCGGTGGTTGGACATACCCAACACATGTCCCAATCACCTCAAATGATAAAGTTCCACTACTTTAGCTATTGGAGAGTGACAAGACTAGAAGCAGTAACTTATGAGTCCCAGTGTGAAGTTATATGATCGACTAACATCGCAGGCAATTTCACATTTTCACAACGAAAGGAGGCGATTCGATATAAATTGAACATAAAAATAACTCAAAGCTACCATAGACCCATAGAAATATGTCAACTGAGAAAAGATCTCTTCTGTATAAGATACCAAAAACACCTAGAACTATTTTCAAAATAAGAATTTATGAGTTCAGCCTTAAGCTTTGGTCACATTTCTAGGCATTTAAAACAAACTACTATTGCAGTTTCTCTCTCTCTCTCTCTCAAATACCCCTCAAGAAGTAAGTATCCTTACATAGGGAAAACAACTAGTAACTGACAGATACCCATGTATCACACTCTCTAAGAACACACTTGAATTATTCGTTATTGATAGTAAATTACATATAATCATCATCATCATCATCATCAAAATACTTAAAGTGAAATACGATAATAAAACAGAACGAATTGACAAGTTAGTTAAGCATCTCATTTCCTAATGATAAATATGTCATATACATGTGCGTATAACTATAACAATCTTGATCGATCGATTGATTGACTGATTAAATATCATACAAAGATTTGTTGATTTGCTTGCTTGCTTTTGTCAGTCAGTGCTTGTTTCACTATAATATTTGGGATGAAATCTTTTCTACGTGAAATCTGTTTACCTTTTTCTTCAAACTGCTATTCGCCGATATATATATATATATATACAGGTTAGATAATAGGACACTACTATTGATTATTAACAATGTCTAACTAATACTGTTGTTGTTGTTATCTACTGGATTAGAACACAGTTTGCAATATTTATATTTCAAGCATCACTGAATAGAAGATAAGTAGTAGTTAGTAGTCATTCAAAGAGAAAATATCAATTAGTTTAATGTAATTAAAAGCAAAAGATAGAACAGAAGATATTTCAAATACTTAAGTTGTTAAATATATACTCGTAGAACATATATATATATATATATATGTCAGTCAGTCAGTCAGTTAGTTACAACGTAGATCTTCGTATGTATATGTACATAAGTTCGGTTTGGCATGACATATTTACCGCAGAGAGATTAAATCGTAAATTCAAATCCCATAGTGATATTAGAGCGGTAAAAAGAAGAAGATTACAGTTCGAAGATATTATTCAAAAAGTGGAATTCAGTGGGATAACTTTATCAAGAGAAAGATAAAGGTGATGAAGAATTAAGGAAATTAGAATTTGAAAGAACACAAAGAATGGATGCAGCTATGCCATTGCAAACGATTTTGAGCTATGTCGTTCAAGGACTCTAACCAACGGTTACCATCAAGTCGCGGACTCTAACCAGGTAGTCTACATCTGCCAACATGACTAAGACTAGTTGTCAGTGACTCCGTGAATTTGTGCCATGTTTTGGTTTGGCCGCAAATAGCTTTCTTCTAACCTTCCCCTTCATCACAAAACATCTCTTGTCGAGGCAGTCGGTGGTTACTTACTTACTTACTTTCGCCTGTGACCCCCAATGGAGCATAGGCCACCCACCAGTTTTCTACAACCAACTCTGTCCTGGGCTTCCCTTTCCAATCCTGACCAATTTTTGTTCATTCTTCTCACGTCTTTCTCTATTTCCCGACCCAATGTGTTCCTTGACCCTCCTCTTTTCCTTTTGCCTTGAGGGTTCCATGTGAGGGGTTGTCTCGTGACGCAGTTAGGTTTTTTCCGTAATGTGTGTCCTATCCTATTCCACCGCTTCTTCCTGATTTCCAACTCCGCTGGAATCTGGTTTGTTCTCTCCCACAGTACGTTGTTGCTGATAGTGTCTGGCCAACGAATACGAAGTATTTTGCGTAGACAGCTGTTAATAAACACTTGTATCTTCTGGATGATGGCTTTCGTAGTTCTCCAAGTTTCCGCTCCATACAGTAGAACTGTCTTCATATTTGTATTGAAAATCCTGATTTTGGTGTTGATTGATATTTGTTTGGAGTTCCAGATATTATTCAGTTGTAGAAATGCAGCCCTTGCTTTGCCAGTCAGCGGTTGAGCATATGCAAAACAAGTTTCAACCACCCCGAGATGACGTTTCACGATTTTATCTATTGATTTGCTATCCCTACACTTAGTACTCTTTTCCTAACGACAGCATTGCTTACTCGGTTGACCAAGGATACATGAGCAACGCTCCAGAGACATCTATAATCGAATACTAATAACCTACGAATACCCTTCATTCTTACCGGCCATATTTCACAGCACTAAAGCAGGACGGAGCGAACTTCTGAGCAGTAAACTCGTCTTTTGGTTACCAAACGGATATATATATATATACACTTCTAAAAATAGTTTATTTCTCAAAACAATATAACTTCAAAACATGAATAGTAGTATGTCATAGAGAATGACAAACAATCCGCTTATTCATCAAATTACTAAAGTTTTTTTTGTTGTGCACATTTCTATCTTATGATAAAAAAATTAATTTGATACAACTCAATAATGATAATAAACCTCGGAAATGAAATCTCTTTTCTAATGATCACATTATGTAAATTAGATGTCTTCTAATTTCCTATTCCAAAACAATTAGTTTTTTTTCTTTTGATTAGAATTCAATTAGAAAAACAAAACAATGGTATGTTAAGTTTTTTTCATGAATGACGTTCACTTATACTTTGAAATGAATAATAGCCTAGAGTAAATAAAGTTTATAAGAAGTGAGTGTTAATCTATGCTGTTTGACCTATGAGTGAAACCCTATCGGGTGAAAGCAGTAACTGCCGAAGACAAATGTTTGAGTTTGTGCAAAATCCCTAAAAGATTGATCAGAGTTAGACATTAACACCATTGGATGCCAGTCTAGTGGTTCAGATATTAGGAATTCATGCGCAAGAATGAAAGTCCTGGGTTCGAATCCAACGGGTAGCAGGAGTCATGGATGCGCACTGCCACTGATGAGCCGCATACCAGGAGGACAAAACGGTCGTCTTTCAGTACTTCCATGTTTCTAATAGTGATCTAACAATGACTGATTGATGATCTCTATATATTATTATTCATGATACATCATAGTTATGAACAGTTATCTGTCATCAGTATGAGAAACAGTAGGCTTGCAAAGAATATCATTCTTGTAGTCGATCAACTGGGTTGTCTGGTTTTTTTTTGTTGCTGTTGCCTAAATCACTCCATCACACTTGATGATAAATAGATATCATTCATTTATACACTAGAAAACAATCGATTTTGAAATAAAAAGCTCCTGAAAAGAGTTTGTTTTTAAAGCCTATGGAATTGTTATAGACAGATGTTATAAATTATGAAGCCACATAGAAAGTGTACGTTTATTCGTGAGTATTGGTATTGTACTTCTTTGCTATCAATAATCAAGACAAAATATTAATCGGTCCCTATTGGTACATGTGTATCATTTTGAGTGGATGTCACAATATTGCCTTTATAATAGACACGATTTTGCATGAAAAGTGCACACGGAGAAGTTGCATGCAGAATGCACACACACACACACACACACACACGTACCAACAAAAACAGATTAAAAATCAATCTTGAATATCAACAAAGTCAATTTTCAATTGATTCCATCAATGCGTTATCAGTTCGTACTAATAATGAAACCTCTC